TAATAATAATAATAATAAAAATAATAATAATAATAATAATAATAATAATAATAATAATAACAAACAATAATAATAATAATAATAATAATAAACAATAATAATAATAATATTTACACCAGACCAGCACGGTAACACACACGTACAATAAAAATAAAAATAAAATAAATATACAGGTTATTGACGAGTTATTGATGAAGTATTCTTGTAGCGATTATTACAAGGTCACATGTGATTGCAAAGAGTAATTCGTAAGGGAGGAACATCAGGTGGCGGTATGTAGCAAGATGACCCTGATGGAGTGGTTGTTGATGTTAGGATGTTATTACAATGCCTCAACGACCATAATAAGGCTTTTTAATAATACTAGTCCACTAATAAATCAAAATGGCGATGATTAAGCGAGAGAAAGAGAGAGAGACCAATGTACTGATTCGCTCTTTTCTACATATCTTTCACACACTCTACCTTTCCTTTCACACACTCTTCCTCTCCTTGCACACACACTCTACCTCTCCTTTCACACACATTCTACCTCTCCTTTCACACACACTCTACCTCTCCTTTCACACACACTCTACCTCTCCTTTCACACACACTCTACCTCTCCTTTCACACACACTCTACCTCTCCTTTCACACACTCTTCTTCTCCATTTACACACTCTTCTTTTACAAATCCTCGTTAATAAGAGAGAAGAGCCATGGTGAGCTCGGGGTTGTGGGATGGTTGTGTAAAGCAGTTCAGACGCGGGTAGTAAAAGTACGAAGAAGGATGTGGAGACGTTAGGTGGTAGAGATGTTTAGAGTGTGATGTTTATGGTGATGTTTAGAGTGTGATGTTTATGGTGTGATGTTTATAGTGTGACGTTTAGTTTGTGATGATTAGAGTGTTATGTTTATAGTGTGATGTTTAGTGTTATGTTTAAAGTGTGATGTTTACAGTGATGTTTAGTGTTTGATGTTTATAGTGTGATGTTTATAGTGATGTTTAGTGTGAATGTTTATAGTGAAGTTGAGGAATTTGGTGGAACTGACATAGTGTTGAAGAATTGGGGGGGTGTCGAGAACCAGCAACATGATAGGATATACAGTACAACATGATGGAAGGAGAGGACACAGTTAAGGGGAGACCAGAGGAAGCTGTAGTCAGGAGTTGAGTCGTTGACCCTCTCGGCAATGGTGAAGTTGGCCACATAACCCAACAAGCAGGAGTTGCCTCATTCGTGTACCTTGAGGAATGCCGCGTTAGAAGGGCTTAAAGGTAGGTACATGTGGGTGACGGTCACTATGGCAAGAGAGAACCTTCTTATGATTTTATGTGTGATAGTTTTGTTGATTATTGTGTTGTGGTTCATCAAGTTAAACGCTTTGGTGAAAAGTGTGTGTGTGTGTGTGTGTGTGTGTGTGTGTGTGTGTGTGTCAAGTGCCTAACAAGCATGTGTAATGGAGTACAGGGTTGTGTGCAATAAGTCGTCACACGTAACTCTGAGAACCAGTAAAAACATTAAGGCAGGAGCATGAACAGGAGCCAACTGAGCGAGCATCACCGTGTCTTAGTCTAAATATTCACCTCAGGTACATTTTTGGACGAGTCTGTCTCTAAAAGTGTATTTATAAATATACATTTCTATGTTTACTTTTAAGATGTTAAATGTATGCAGAGGGATGAGACTCCAACACTGTTCAAGTGATGGAGCGCCTCAAGGTTTGTCTACCTGTGGCAGCGTGTGTTCTCTCGTGTTATGTGTGGGGTACAGCGACCCAGTGTAAACTCTGTTCACTTCCTGTCCAAGCTGTGGTTCATGCCCGGGGCCCCCCATTTCGCTCAGTTTTCAATGGGCATCAGACTTCGCAGTTAAGGAAACTGAAAGCAGCTGAGCGCAGTGCCGGCCACGCTGACTCCTTGTATTAATCTATTATAGTAATTAACATTAGTTGATCACCGCCATGAGTGGACATCATGTATAAACCCGTGAGTGGTAATAAGCGAGGCAAGGCTTCTAGACACTCAGAACCCCGAGTACAGGAGGTATATAAACAGCATCACTTTAAAGCACCGAATATAGCCGTCCGTCACCAGCACCAAGACTGCCACTCATTAATATACTCGTATATATATATTAACAAGTACTCCCCCAGCAGCAGGACATTGTAGGAGGCTGAGTCGTGATACACAAAGGAATGTGTGGTGACAGTCAGACCGCGGCCTTCACAACTACTACCCCATGACTGACTGACTGACACACACACACACACACACACACACGGGTTCTCCAAACTAATGCTCTACAGTTTGAATTAGATCCTGTACCTGATTTGCATCCTGTTCTTAATCTAGATCCTGTACCTATGAAGGAGTCAACTGAGGCACGAACATGACATCTCTCTGGGAACACAAACATGAGTACCTCTTCCTGACAACACTCACTCACTTAAAAATTCGTTCAGAGTACAATTCAGTAAACTTGGCCGAATAATTAAAACAGTAAATTACGAAAGTCTGACAGTGGCTATGTATATGAAGACAAAAAAACCCACAATACTGATAGTGAAGTAGTTTATTTAGACAGAAAAAAATAAACATACAAAGTAAACAATAACAAACATATTGATTGAGTCGAGTGAGAGCTAGGGACCCCGTCTGTAAACAACTGACCAATACTGCACATATCTCCAGGAATTGAATGTCACAGAATACGTGTTACGGTGGTGTTACTAAATACGCATTAGAATGTTACCAAGTTTACCATATTTTTTGTAGTTATTTGTTTATATAAATTCATTCATCCTTAGTGTTTCCATCAACTCTCTTTGTTCACACTTTATTCACCTCAACATTTTAGTGAGGAGGAAAAACTAAAAACTGGAAAATTTAATCTGTATACTGCATAACATGTAAAACTAAAGGTGTATATATATAATCCTTCCCAATGTTTACACCAGGACAGTGGCGGTGTAAACTATAAAGGTCACTTCCCGCCAGTGTGGGTGTATGGCCTTGAAAGTGATTTAATACTCGGTACACTTAGCAGTTAGTTCCGTCCTTGGCGTGACGATTTGTGATATAACGATGATAAACGCCCAATAACCACGGTCACACCAGGAATAATTGATGACAACACGCATGATATCACCAGGTAATGACATACGGGTGAGGCGTTGCTCCGACACAGGTAAAACAAGTTAACTTTATCTGAATTATAGCTGATATACTAGACCACACGGAAGACAAACAGCATAAGCCCACCAGCACGAGCGGGGTGAGGAGTGGACTAACTGTGCCTCTCCTTCACAGCCAGCCGGAAGCAAACACCCCCCTCCCTCCCTGCCTAGACCCCACCCCTCACTTGCTTCACCTGCGGGACACACCATCATTCACCACACTGAGGTCAGTCAACATCAACAATATGACTCACTTGACTCACCATTGTTGTGTAGACGAAAATAAATAAATAAATACAACAGGAACAGGCAAGAGATAGAGCAACACCACACATTTCAATAATGTTTTATGAATGAAATGTTGGCCAGTGTGTGGTGTGTAGGTGGTCAGGTCCACACGTGGCCCGGATGTGGCCACCACACCTATCACACTACACCCAGCCGCCACCACCACCACACCTGCCACACTACACTGCTGCCACCACCACCACACCTATCACACTACACTCCACTGCCACCACCACCACACCTGCCACACTACACTTGCTGTCACCACACACCCAGCTACACTAAACCTACCACAGTAAATAAGGACCAGGAGAGCAGGGGTGTGGGTAGGCTGGGTGTAGTCATGAGTGTGTAGGGTTGGGTGTAGAACATGGGGTGTGGGAGGCTGGGTGTAGAGCCAGTGTGTGTGGTAGACTGGGTGTAGTAGCTGGGGTGTGTGTAGAACATGGGTGTGTGTGGTAGGTGGGTGCAGAACCATGGGTGTGTGGTAGGTGGAGTAGTAGCCATGGTGTGTGGCTGGGTAGAGCCATGGTGTGTGTAGGCTGGGTGTAGTAGCCATGGTGTGTATTGGGTGTAGAGCTGGGGTGTGTGTAGGCTGGGTGTAGTAGCCATGGGTGTGTGTGGTAGGTTGGGTGTAGTAGCCATGGTGTGTGGTAGGTGTAGTAGCCATGGGTGTGGTAGGCTGGAGCCAGTGGGCTGGGTAGAGCCATGGGTGTGTGTGGTAGGCTGGGTGTAGTAGCCATGGGTGTGTGTGGTCGAGAGCCATGGGTGTGTGTGTGTGGGTAGGCTGGGGTAGTAGCCATGGGTGTGTGTGTGGTAGGCTGTAGTAGCCATGGGTGTGTGTGTGGTAGGTTGTAGAGCCATGGGTGTGTGTGTGGTAGGCTGGGTGTAGTAGCCATGGGTGTGTGGTAGGCTGTAGTAGCCATGGTGTGTGGTAGGTAGTAGCCATGGTGTGTGTGGTGGCTGTAGTAGCCATGGGTGTGTGTGGGGCTGGGTGTAGTAGCCATGGTGTGTACAGTAGCTTACGTGTGGCTGGTGTAGAGTGATGGGGGCTGGGGGGGGCAGGAGGGTGTGCGGCAGGCTGGGGCTGGCAGCGGGCTGGGCCACGGCCAAATATGGGTGGGTAGGCACGCACGCTACCCAGTGCCGCCCACCTTTCACGCCCACACGTCCGCAACCTCACACCCTAATTGGGAATGAGTCAGGCTTCATCTGATGTCACGTCACACCTGGCCAACTTAAAGGGCTAAGTTTGGCCCGACACAAGAGGGTAAGTACTGGCCAAGAGGAACAACGCTGGGTCATACGAGGTGAGTGTGGCCAAACAGTAGCCAACACTTCTCTCCTGCCTACACTACTTACGGACGCGGAGGCAGTATCAACAAACACCTGTCCCTATATACCTAGACCTCCAGGTAAAGGGTTAATGAGAGACGTATTAATACCTCTTAAGTGAGAGTAGAGTGCCGAGGGGAGGTTGGGGAGGGGGAGGCAGAGGTAGCAGGTGCCCGAGGGGTGATGGTGCACATCCTTCACACCAACACTACTTACCTTGTAGCTCTGGCAGACACTCTTCTTGCACACGATCACCCGGTGTTTACAGTACTGCTGGGGGTCTTACTGTTTTATAATCCTGTACAGCCTTCCAGACCACTAGAGGGCCTATAATGGCTGTCGTTATATATCCAAATGCTAATAGAGTGCACACATTGCTTATCAAGGACTAACACAACCTCACTACTGCTCACACAACCAAGTCTGACCAAGCACTGAGTGAAGCGAGTCTCAACCCTCCACACAGCGACTTACTGCCTCCCCTTACCTTATATTTACTCCTCTCAGTAACCCAACAACTGTTTATCTTAATACTAAATTGCCGATAACTACGAGGGTCTTTAGTCTATATACATATGACTTCACACAGAAGCTTTGCATTACAGAATATCACGAGTTTTCCTTGTAGTGAGTTGGCACCTGAGGGAGAAGGGCGGCGGTGTTGGCCAACAGCAGCCCTGCCCACCCAACATAGAAAACGGCAAGATGCGGGTGGTTCGCTATTTGCCTCTTACCCCGTTACAACAATCTTTAATTCAACTTAATCATTTACTAGAAACATATATTGACATTAATGAGCACCACATGTCATATTAACTAATATAAACACAACACCACTCCTGTAGGTGATGGCGGGCCAGGGACCGAGGCGCCCCACCACACGATATCAACTGATGAATTATACTTTTTTCTGATCCAATTTTTTTCCATTACCTCAGGGCGACGGCCACAACTGTACCAGGATTACCACATAGGGAAGAAGATGTAGCCACCGTGGTGAGTCTCACCCACCACACCCACCGTGGAGTCTCACCCACCACACCCACCGTGGTGAGTCTCACCCACCACACCCACCGTGGAGTCTCACCCACCACACACACCGTGGAGTCTCACCCACCACACCCACCGTGGTGAGTCTCACCCAGCAGGAGTCTCACCCACCACACTCACAGTGGATCTCACCCACCACACCCACAGTGGAGTCTCACCCGCCACACACCAATCGTGGTGAGTTCACCCACCACACCCACAGTGAGTTCATCCACCACACCCACTGGAGTCTCATCCACAACATCCTTTGTGTGCCTATATCACCAGGTGAGGCTCCATCATACCCAAGTGAGGCTCCATAATGGCACTTAGTGAGGCTCCATCATGGAACCAGGTGAAGCTCCATCAGGCACCAGGTGAAGCTCCATCATGGCACCAGGTGAGGCTCCATCATGGCACCAGGTGAAGCTCCATCATGGGCACCAGGTGAAGCCTCCATCATGGAACCAGGTGAAGCTCCATCATGGCACCAGGTGAAGCTCCATCATGGCACCAGGTGAGGTGCCCATCATGGCACCAGGTGAAGCTCCATCATGGCACCAGGTGAAGCTCCATCATGGCACCAGGTGAGGCTCCACTGGCACCAGGTGAAGCTCCATCATGGCACCAGGTGAAGCCCATCATGGCACCAGGTGAGGCTCCATCATGGCACCAAGTGAAGCTCCATCATGGCACCAGGTGAGGCTCCATCATGGCACCAGGTGAGGCTCCATCCTCTCAAATATACAGAGCAAAGATAACGTCACCATCCGCTGATAACCCGACAATATTCCCTGTGTGTGTGTGTGTGTGTGTGTGTGTGTGTGTGTGTGTGTGTGTGTGTGTGTGTGGGCCATTATTTACTTACGTGGTGCCTCAGCCCGTCCTCGATGACTCAGTGTATTTAGTGGGTTCCATTGTTTGACCCCACCTCTCAGGCTCACGTTACTCGCTTACGCTTATGGTCGGGGTGTGGGGCAGGGAGGTGTGGGCAGGGGGCAGGGTGTGGGTAGGGGTGTGTAGGGTGTGGGGCAGGGGTGTGTGGGGCAGGGTGTGGGGCAGGGGTGTGTGGGTAGGGTGTAGGGTGTGGTGTGTAGGGTGTGGGGTAGGGGTGTGTAGGGGTGTGGGGGGTGTGGGGCAGGGTGTGGGTAGGGGTGGGGTAGGTGTGTGTGGGGCAGGTGTGGGGTAGGGGTGGGGAGGTAGGGGTGTGGGGGTAGGGGTGTGGGAGGTAGGGGTGGGGAGGTAGGGGTGTTGGGGGGGTGGGGGCAGGGTGTGTGGGGTAGGGGTGGGGTGGGGGTGTGGGGGAGGTGGTGTGGGGGGGAGGGGTGTGTGGGGTAGGGTGTGTGGGGTATGTGTGGGGAGGGTAGGGTGTGTGGGGTAGGTGTGGGGCAGGGTGTGTGGGGCAGGTGTGGGGCAGGGTGTGGGGTGGGGTGTGGGGTAGGGTGTGTGGGGTAGGGGTGTGTAGGGGTGGGGTAGGGTGTGTGGGGTGTGCGGGGGTAGGGGTGGGGTAGGGTGTGAGTAGGGTGTGTGTGGGTAGGGTGCGGGGTAGGGTGTGTGAGGTAGGTGTGGAGGGTAGGGTGTGTGGGGTAGGGGGTGTGTGGGGTAGGGGTGTGTAGGGTGTGTGGGGTGGGGTGTGGGGCAGGGTGTGTGGGGTAGGGTGCGGGGCAGGGTGTGTGGGGCAGTGTGT